TATGACTACAGCCTAGCTCGGGACAGATCGAGGTCTCCCAGGGAAAGAAATACGGGAGAGAGAGAAATAGAGCAAAGTGATGAAAATAGCAGGAGAAGGAGTACAAGATCTATGAGAGGAATAAAACCCTTAAGGTTCAGGGAGATGTAGTGATACTAGCAAATTAGTACACATAATTTACATAAGCATAAGTGAACACTCATATAAGTGGTCACTGGGAATAACGAGGTAGAAGTACAAGCTTAGTGGCTGATTAGTGCTAACCCATTTGCAAAATTACGTAAGAAAAATAGTGAATTTAACTGGACACTTTTAAAACAGTAAAGAAAATACTTAGGAGCAAACCAATAATAAAAGTTTTTGATCCATAAAAAGAAATAACATTAAGCACAGACGCGAGTGAAAAGGCGATTGCTGCTATTGTATTGCAAGAAGAACACCCAATTATGTACATATCATAACTACTCAAATATTGAAAAAGAAGGATTAGCAATTATATGAAGCATGGAAAGGACACAAAATTTTTTGATAGGAAAGAAATTCTTATTAAAATCAGACCACAAACCAATGGAATTCATATTTAATCTGAGAAAATAATTGTCAAAAGTAACATCATCATTTTATAATATATGTAAAAGGGAACACAATCTCTCATGTAGATGCGTTATCAATATTGCATTTCAAGAATTAAGCAGAAGAAAAACAGGAAAAGACAAAATAATACACTAGGTTGAAACGGATGTTCTTCCTCTAAATAGACTCAAGATAGAGACAGAGCAAGATTCAATATTAAGCAGAATAATGAAGAGAATAAGAAATAATGCATGGAGTAATTGTTCAATAGCAGAGCGACCCTTTAAAGAAACAAAGCACAAAATGACCTTAGAAAATAGCATAATATGCAATGGAGATATAATCGTAGCTCCACAAATACTGATGAGAGACATATTAAAAGGAGTGTATGATGATGTGCATTGTGGCATAATAGTGATGAAAAAAGGACTAAAGTTGCAAGCTTGGTGGCCAGGGTATTCAAAAGATGTAGAGGAGTATATTAAGAGAGGCCCAAAATTTTGTAGAAATAAAAAAATTCAAGCAAAGTAAAATTCACTCATGGCCCAAGGAAGCAGAGCCATGGGTTAGGGTACACATGGATCACGCACATATCAAAGATAGGGGATTCTTCTTAGTATTAGTAGATTTGTATTCAGGATGGCCAGAGATTGTCAGAGTAAAAGACAGAAAAGCCACCACAATAAAGCAAGTACTAAAGAACCATATTTTCAAGGAATGGAGTACCCCAGAAAGTAGTCACTGACAATGCACCTGAATTTTGCAATGAGAATTTGTGTGCATGGTTGAAACAGATAGGATGTACCCCATAGGAGACACCACCGTATCATCCACAATCTAATGGCATTGCGGAAAGAATGGTACAAACGATGAAAATGGGGTTAAAAGCATTCTCCCCACTTAATGAAAGCTTAGAAGTGTATTTAATGAAAATGCTTCCCAGTTATAGATCCATTCCACATGTAGGAAGAAAGCTGAGCCCTTCAGCATTAATGGGTAGACAAATCAGAGCTCCCATAACTATGTCCTTTTCAATGAAAGAAAAGTTATGGTATAGAAAGAATAAAGAGGCTGATCCAGAAGAAGCTCATTTCCTCACAACACAGCTATACTGGAGAAAAAGGGACAAAATATAATAGCACATGTGGATCAATTCTGAAGCAGAAATGAATTGGATGATGTGGAAAAGTAAGATCAAGAGCAAGAAGAGTCACAAAAATGGAACAGAGCAGGAAGTGGAAGAAAGTGGGAATAAAAAGATGGACAAGAGTGAAGAAGAAAAAGAAGAAAGACCAAGATCACCATTAAAGAGAAAACAAGAAAGACAAGAAGAAGAAGAGCACATGAGAATAATCATAAATAGTAAAAGACAAAACAAGGGTGTCTAGCCTCTTCGATTCAGGGAGGTGTAGTATCATAGTGTTGTGGATCCCGTGTGAAAAATAGGTATCCAATAAATGACAAATGCAAGTATTTAAGCTAAGAAATTAAATGTATTTACACAAAATACAAAAGGTAATGCTGTTAGTAAAATCCAGGAACACGGTTAGTAGCAAATACAGATAGATATATACAGTCTCGTAGTAGGACTTCCTTAGAGTCTATGTGCTTGTAACTGACTTCTACAAGAGGTTACTTCACTCTATCCGACTACCAACACTCACAGACGACTCCAGTACAACTCATCTTCTCTGCCAGACTATGGCTATTTTATGGCAGCAGGACGAGTCCATTATATCCGAAAAGGGTGGACCCCATAACACATAGGCAAATGAGAATGACAACATAAATAGAGAGCAGAGGATGAACAAGGGGCATTAGTCAGCAAAACCGTTTGCTGAATGTAACATGGAGAACTGTGCTACAACCCAGAGAGAAATACACAACATAAGAAGAAATCCCAGAAAGACAGTTATCTGAAGTTTTTATAGAAGGGAACTCTCCTTTCAAACAATAACATCTCTCCTTCCTCTTCCTCACCACCTTCCACTTATACCACCAACTCTCCTACAGGTATGGTAAACTTAAATTAAGCTTTTGTCTATTTTTTATCTGTTTAGTATTGTTTTTGTATTAGATTTAATGATTTTCATTGGTTTTGTGTATGAACTAGTGTACAAAATACTGCTGTAAAAGTTTAAATAAGCAATCACCTGGGGTCCAGAAACAGATTAATCCATTTTACATTGAGTCCTATGGGGAAAATAGAACATTTAGAAAAATTATGAACATTTTGAGTCATGAATGGCTTTTCGGAACAAATTAAATTCTTGAACTGAGGTTCCACCATATTTAGAAACTTTTAGCAAAGAATACCTACACACTCATTGCTTTAGCTTCTTTTAAATTTCCATAATTGATAATCTAACCTTATATAAAAATTCTTTCTGCTTTCAATAGTATGATGGATATTCAAAAGGTAAGATACAAGCATTTACTATATTTATTGCTGTAGTGATATGTAAATAACTACCTAATTAGCAATCTAAAGCATAGACTATATAAATGCCCCAGCAGTAAGGATAGGGCAGCTCTCAGTATGCAAGATAAACGACTAACACTAGACTGATAAAATATAAAGGAAATCACGTGTCATAACAATTACTATACAAATAAAATACTGTGCATAGATTACTAGCACTACTATGCTACTTTTCCACATCGTTACAATTGGGTCTGATGCATGTGTCCCCTCAATACATGGGGTATAAATACTCATCTCAAAAAATAGTGCATCAAGCAATGGAGCCACCAATGCATCTCTGCAATAACTGTACATGGAAACACTTCCAATAAGTGTTGTTTCAGGGATCCAAACAGATCATAATCTGAAGAAGTCAAGCCAAGATTATACATTTTTTTTTTTTTTTTTAAATCATTTCATCCCAAGCAAGGCAATAAAGCTGGTAAGACACAAGCTGTTACTGAGTGGGAAAGAATATAAGAAAAAGAGAAAACTTATTAAAGAGAGAGAACAATAAAAAACAAGAATTAAGAAGACAGAATATAATGATTGACATTGCATTTAAATTTTTGAAGATCAAAGTTGACTAGAAAGTAAAACACTGCAAATATACTGTGTCTGGAACCACATTTTTCATTTAGGGAAAAAAGTGAATACAACTGTATTCCGGATGTAAAACGTGCGCTGCTCATAAATTTTATACAATGTAGTCAAACAGTTAAAGCAGTCAGATACTGGGTGTGGGCAGGCTGTGGGAAAATGTTTGGCAACAGAAACCAGGTTGTTAGGTGTAAAGGTGTTATTTTGCTACACTATGCTACCCTAGAGTGGATTCAGCAGTATGATTGGGATGTTTTACTCTGTTTGTTGCATTGTCCTAACTTGGCTCCTTCAGATTATCATTTGTTTTGACCACTCAAATGACATTTATCCAGAAATAATTTCATGCATTGTTGTTTGCAGAGGTGCAACAGTGTCTACAGTCATTTGTCACTGTATTCTTGAAGGAGGGTATTTATGATCTTCTGTACTAATGAGATAAGTGAATCAATTACACTTGGAACCATGTAGAAAAGTAGCACAGTAAAGCCAATAATATATGCACAATATTTTACTTATATAGTATTATACATATTAGGTTGGTAAATATTTGTATCTTACTTTTTTTAACATCTTCTGTATATATTTGTGATCTCAATGTTAACTAAAAATGTAACATTTCCAAAGGTTCTATATCATACCAGTAATAAACATTTTAATAAAACCAAGTAAATGTTAAATCAGTTTAAATTTCACCCAAAACTAAGGATTAATTACCTTGATAATTCCTTTTTAATTCAACATCAAAACATAATAAACTTACAAAATATAAAATATGATGATAAAAAGAGTAACAATGAAAAATTACAGGACTTGGATAATTCAGGTACGTTGCTTAATTGAAGCATTTGACTATATTAAAAAGATTAACTGGATTAAAACAAATTGAAAATGAATGGTAATTTAATTTCAAGATTTGAAAACAATTAAAAATGAGACAAATTTGTTAAAATGAAATAGAACTGAAAATAGTAACTTTGATGAAGTAAAACTTTAGAATTAGATAATAAATAGAACTTATGAAGTATATAACTAAGATCTTAAATTACTTAAATTACTTTGTTTCAATAAGTTAATCCCACAATTTATAGTGAATACTTATTTGAAAAAGAAAACAACTTTTAGATGAGAGTTGCAGGTGAAGTTACTTCAACTTGTGTGAAACTGTTCTTCTTGGCTTGAGCTTATATGCAGATGTATGCATATAAACAAAATTCAATAAACAATTACTTTTTCCAGGAAGTAATACTAAATGACATTTCAGGCCAGTAAATAACAACATTTCATCTACTGATCATTTTGCCAAATGTATATATGATGCTGAAATGGAATAACAAATATCCAATAGAAATTTGTAGCTTACGTTTGTACAGCATTCAACCCAGCTGCATACATCTTTTCAAGTCTGTCCATCCAGTAGTACTTGGGAGTCCTGAAGTAATGCATACTGCCAGACACATAACGAAATGGTTTGCCATCTTTGAGAAATGTGTTTCTCTCATAGTCAATGCCAAATGTATAGTTTTTGAACTAGATAGAGAGAGAATAATAATAATAATAATAAAGATGAAGAAAATGACAAATGTATTTTTAAATAACCAAGTAATTTTAAAATAGAGTAAAAGTAATTATAATTATTCTACATAACTAATGTCTGAGAAAAAAAGTAGTTGATTTTTATTAATATTTCATGTTTCATTCACATCATCCTTGAAACAATATCACAAATTATCAGAAAAATAATGAAAATAAAAAAAATAATTTAAAATGACCATATCATCTTAATTGTTGTGATTACAATATTTTAGCTCTTGTTCTCTCCAGCCTTCTTCAGATCTTTGTCAATCTATGTAACCTTTAAAGAATTTCAAACTGAACCCTTTCTTTTATTTACAGGGGTAAATTGTTCTCATTTCACTGTCCATGTCTAGGGATATCTTGTCTTGTTCTTATTTTAGTACTGCTCAGTTATTGCTTGCTATGTTTCCATAGAGTCTAAGCCTGTACTAACCCAACCTAAAAATTGAACTCATAATTACTATGGGGAAAACAGAGCAAGCAATAACTGAGCAGTACTGAAATAAGGACAAAAAAAGATAACCCTAGACATGGATAGCAGAATGAAGACAATCAACCATGTAGATAACAGAAATGGTTTAGTTTGAAATTCCTGGAAGGTTTATATACCCACAAAGTTATATTTAAACAATAAATAATAAAAATCTGATGCATTTTTTTCTCCATTATACCAACACTGATTACAATTAAGCATTACAAATTTATCTGTACCCATTAAGTATTTAAAAAATACTTTTTAGAAAAGACTAAAAGATTATCAAACCTTTCAGGTAAGTGAAGATGTCGAAGAACAATGATAGTCACTGATGCATAGACTAAATTATGGACACATGTAAAAAGTTAAACTATTCTAGGAAAACAAGTTAACAGGACACAAAGTCTAAGATGTAATATTCAAAGTTAAATTAATGGATTTTATAAACAAAAAGCTTCTCAATTAGAAATATGCTTTTTCCTTTTAATTACTGCTGATCTATAACTGATTGCACAATTAGATTGGGCAATCTTGTTTTTATAGAATTCTTAACGTTCAAATGATTTTTTTGTAAATGTTTTATTTTTTAGAATGTAGGCAGACATGCTTCTCTATACATTCTTTTTTAATATCTGCGAAATACTATGATTTCTTCAAAAAGGAAGTGGAGTTATTCTCCATGGTTTAGAATTCAGTGTAGTCTTTCTCCTAGACTGGAGTTTAAAGAGTACAATCTACTTTATTTGATCCATAGCTAAAAAAGGAAAAGATGGATTCATGCCTTAGCACAAAAGTCAATGCTGGAATTTGAACTTGACTTGCCAATTACAATTTCCACATTCATAACTGTTACACTACCTGCACATCCAATTGATAAGGTTGAGTAAAAGAAAAAACTTCAAATGGCATTGTCAGCTAGAATAAAGACATCCAATTACAATGTAATGGAGACGATTATAGATCAACAATAATTATACAAGTAATTCTGATAATAGAATGTTAATAACAAAAACAATATTTTATTTAAAACAAAAAAAAAAGAAAACAGTATATAGAAGTAAAATAGGCAAACGTTTTTAAATCTTAATTCTTCAATAAAATAAAATAAAAAGTTGATAAATCTTTTGTTGCAATTAATGATAGTGGTTCTCATACTTTTCTTAATATAAGCAAGAAGGTCTATATTGTGATAATGGAGAGTTAAAATTTCAGTTGTTTTTGAAATATTAGATTTCATAAATTAGTTTTGCAGAAAGAACATTAAACTTTAACATGTACAAACAATGATTCCATTTAACAATACTGTTTAGTCTGTCCCTACACACAAGCCACCAATCTGCCACTGGGTGTCATGCGACTATTAGCGTTTATGGCTGGCGGCCCACTGACAGACTGTTGGCGTATTCATCTCGGCAATGTTACCACTGGAGGACCACTAGAAGCCCAGCTGTGGCTGCCACCAGAGGACCGCCGGTGTTGCCATCGGCGACCCGATACTGGCCACTAGCGGCTTGTGTGTAAAGTTGTATTTACTTTTTCCCAGCTATGGGTTAAATAGCAGGTTAAAAACTGGGTTCTTTAACCTTGTATGGCCAATAAGAGATGGAATACTGAGTTCAAAACTCAAGTAGGGAATGAGAAACCAATTCATTATCTTTCCTAAAAAAAACCCAATCACAATAAAAAAAAAAATGGCATGTATTGTGGATAACCATATGATTGCATATGAAAGGACATAAAAAACTTAAAATTACATTTTTTAATGAAAATTCGATCTGCCCATTATTTTTTTTTTTTCTTAATCTTGTTTTGTTTGAATAAATAGACAAAACTTTTCTTGTAGTGTATCATTTCCAGATCGAGTCTGTAAGCAAATGTACCAGTATCCAGGATTTAAATTGCAAATGATCTTATTTCAGAACAAACAAATGCTTTTTTAATAATAACAATAATAATATTAATGAAATATAGTCTGTGTTTTACAGTAAGCAAAGAAAAGTATTATTTTTCTGATAAACCTGGCTGAATTTTCATTAATACGAAAGAATAAAAATATTAACAATAACAATATAACATTTATCATGGAAAAGAGGTGTGATCAAATAAAAAAAAACAATTTAAAAATCACTAAGAAGAAAGTTTAAGTTGTACTTAAGCGGTAAATGGTACAAAAAAGCAATCACAAAAACAATTGTTAAAATGAAAATTTACTATATACAAACCTTATTATTGATGAAATGTGCTTGTAAAAAACTTTGCAAGCAAAGACCGAACAAAAACACAAAAAATCGACTCAATTTCGAAAAGTCCATGTTGATTAAATAAGTGGAGATAACTCCAATCGAATTGAAATGTTGGTCTCTCGTCAATGAACTGAAATTAACGTCTCATTTACTTCCTTTCCTACTTATATAACAATATCAACCTACAATCGTAGTGTCATGGACTTTGCTTATAATCTGTTACAATCTAGTTTACATTTTATTTTAGTAAAAATAAACAATGGTAACAAAAGAGATGCGATCATTTTACAGATCAATAAATGTTTCTTTCAGTTTCAGTGTTTAGACTTTAGTTTAGTTTCTGTTTCTGCTTGCTTACGTGAGCCGACGCCTATTGTCTTTCAAATAAAATTTTGCCCTTTCTAGTACCTTTAAAAGTTGGTTATAACAACTTTTACGAGAGAATATATGTACTTTTCTATATACCAAAACAATGTTATTGTTATGCAAGTAACAACTAAGTGGAAAATTTTCTCTTTAAAAGAACGTTTTTTAGTCCGAATTCCTTTTACTTTTTAGGACAAAAAACACATTTCATTACATAATTAATTTTGTAATTCAGTTACCAAACAACTTTTATCGAATGCATTCGTAACAAAGTTTTTGTTGTGGGTGAAAGCATTCAGCTTCCACATATACTTTTGTCAAAATCTTTTTTTTCTTCTTTTGAATGATAAATAATAAACAATAAACATTTATGGGCATATCCACCTTCTTGTAGCTAAGCGCAGCTTTTTCAAATCAATTAACGAAATAAACTAAAGTATTTATGAGAAAAAGTTAAAATTAACATAAGAAAAGTTGAGCATTGACATATTATGAAATAAAAAAAACAAACAACAAATCGTGCACTGTTGATATATAACTAAAACTTGCTATATGTTATTGTTGTACTGCTAGCTAGCAGAGTAGGTGTTTAAATTGTTATTATTAAGAAATTTGAACTAATTAACTTAAATAAATTAAAATTGTAGAAATTTATGTCGATTGCAACGAATCACTGTTCTTTACTTTTTCTCTACTAATTACAATTATATATTTTTTCATTTATTCATCAACGGACAAAAAACGAGAGTGAGCTTTTCTGAGTCACAAACAAATCAATTGAATTTGAATCAGGTGATCTTTTGAAAAGATTCATGATCATGGTGTCTTTTCTTTTAGTGCACTGATTTTAAATTGGTTTCCTTACTCACTCACTATCCAGAACCTTCGATTAAAAAAGTCCAGCGAGTGTTGTCAGTCCAGATAATTTTTTAATTTAATTATAAATTGCTTGCAATTATTATTTGTTTTTTTAACATAAAACACAACAGCTTTCTATTTTCAATGATGATAAAAGTAAAAAAAAAACAAAAAACTTTTGTCTATAAAATTACAGAAAAAATAAATTATATACGCATTTTCTGTCTACAACAAAATGTTTGTCAAACATTTATTTTAGTTTATTAATGAAAAATAATTACGTGCAATTAATTTAAATCTTTCGATAATTCAAAAATTAAGTGTAAATTTAGCTTCTTAGAAGCATTTTTAAGTTTTATTTTTTTAACGTAAAAAGTTAAAATTAAAAATCAACCACACAAAAATCATGCAAAAAATATTTTATTCTTAAAAAATGATAAAAAGATCAACTGTTTCTGTTTAATTTTCAATTTATATTTTCTCTCGATTCTAATGGTTGACTGGTTTTTGTCGCAATGTAATTGTAGTAATCATATCCCAATATTCACTTCGGTGGCATAATGCAGTATTGACAAAAAATAAATAAATAAATAAAAATAAAAAGGAGTATAACACTATTTTATTGTTCATTTCTTTAAAGAAACTATGAACAAGTAGTGGGTATCCACATCTCTAGCCAATTATTATGCATCAAGCTTGCTAGTGTTAGTTTGTTAGATTGCATTTTTTTTGTTGTTTTTGTTCAGAAGGTGGAGGCATTTGCGATGCAGTCAGTGCTTTTTTTGTCTAAGTGGTCGATAACAACAATGTATTGGTATTTATTTACTGATTGGTTGATGCTTACTTACTACTACCATGACACAAGAAGACAATATGCGTGGGAACCTAGTGAAGATCGAACTCACTTAAGTCTGCAAGAGCAGTTTGTTAACAAACTTTTACAGCTCCACGGCAATTTTGATTAGCAGTAAAATTAAAAATCGTTTCAAAAACTGTACAAGCAAAATAAGTATAATAATGCTGCCTTACATTTCACAAACAAGAGCTGTTGCAATACTACTATTTAGTTGTAGCGTTAAAAAAGGGTATGAGTATGAGTACTACTACTTTACTACTGTTGGTGTTTTTTGAGGAACAGGTGCTGTTGCTCATTTTGTAAAAAAAAAGTATTTATTTATTAACTATTTCTGTAATCAGTGGAAGAAGGGAAGGATTGAGAAATTCTCACATCTGTCACTCTACTCACCCACTTATAAAATTTGCCAGATATAACCATAATTTAAAAAATATATATATCCAGACACTTGCTTCACTTGTTGAGTGAAGTAGTTTGAATCTGAATTGCCAGTATCAGTGAGTTTATATGCAAAAAAAAAAAAAAAACACTAACCGCCGAAAAAATTATATTAACGAGCTTCACTAATCTTGCACCTGAAATGGACCCATGGATTTCGGTTATTTTTTAGTTAGACAATCGAAAGTACTGATCAATGAATAATATATTTTCCAATGACAAACAACACTGCAGTATTCAATTCAATGTATTGTCAAAGTAAGACAGTTTAAAAATCATAAATTTATCAATGAAGCATTCTGGTGAACACTAAATGGCAACACTGTAATTAAATCATTATTGCACTACGGTTTTCTTCTCATAAACTCCTATCTGCTACATAAATTGCATAAAAAAATTATACTCTTTTTTTATCATTTTGTAGTGTACGAAGTATTTTTCTTGAGTGTTGTTATTAAATACTAAAATAAGTTTTTATTGTCTGTTATTTTTTTGCAAAGTCAAAGCGCGGATTATTTGAAGTGTAGTTCAGTGATTTTATTATGAATAGACGATAAAATTGAATTTGTATTGCTTAGGTGATGGTGGTGGTACTTCTATGTAAATCTGTGTACTACCGGATGTACACTGGCACATAACAATTATTGATCTGGGTGCAAGCTTGAAAATCTAGAAAAACGAACAGCTCATATCAGCTACCTCCTCCTCTTTGTTATTTTACTATTACTGCTGCTATGTCTGTACTCTTGGTCAGAGTGAAATAATATACTAAAGGCTGACAGTTGTCTTATTCAAATTATGGCAACCCTTCTCACCAACTGATAGAAATAGATGTGTAGTCTACTGAGGGAAATCTAAATCTCGTACCTAGTTTATAGCGGCCTTCGTATATAACTAGAAATGAAGCTTTAATTGTGGCAAAATTGAAAACTTTAGTTACATTTTTTACATCAATGTTTTTGTTACTTTAAAAAAGATTTCTGTAAGTTGATTTTTGTAGATGTATCTTTTCCATGGTAATTATTCTTAGTCTTCTTATTTGAAAGATTCATAGAAATAAACATATGTCTGGTGATATAGAGAAAAAGTCCATACATTTTTTTTTTTTTTTGAATAAAAAATGTCATGACGTATTATTGAATTAGAGAAATTGACAGTGACATGTAATTTTATTTGTCGGCGAATTTTTTGTTCTATCTTCCCTTCCTTCTTAGGACTCACTTGGTGCAGATTTGCATAGAGGAACTGGAATGTTTTAAGTTGACTGACCACGACCTGTTGCAAAATTTAGTTATTTGTTTTTGAGTGATAAAACTCGGATTTTGAATTTACCCAAACCAACAGCAATTGGTTGAGAATTCTCTTTTTGTACCTCACAGTGTTTTATACTACACAAACTAATTTTTAATTTTATTTTAGAATATTCATTGCAGCTTTTTCTTGAAGCTTACTATTTATGTGTGTGTGTGTCTGTGTGTTGATCTTTTTTTTTTCTTAGATGTTCCTACCAACAATACAAATATTATTTATGAATTCAATTAGAAGTTATTTGGTAATTTTTTATTATATGTTTTGTCTTGGATGTCAACAAATATGACTGCTACACAAATGTGGTATAAATATTTGTATTTAAGCATTTATAGCTCAGTTTTAAAGACCATAGGTTTGAAAACCAACAGTGTGATTTTTTTTTTATGATAAGATGGAACAGAAATTTGTCACTTTCCTTCCTAAAACACCCATTGTACTGGTGGTTAGTGGTATACTCATGTAATCATAGCTAAATTTACTTCTCAAAATAATTGTTCAGTATATGAATTATTTCAGACTTTTCCGGAACCCATTGGGAGTTTTAATCAATATAGTTATTATAGTTGTTGGAATCCAATATTAAAAAAATTAAGCAAAATTGAGAAATACATGCAAAAATATAATAGAATGACAAATAGGATTTTAAATATTATGATTTAATATTTTATTTAAAATACATATAAAATTTCTGGTAAAAGGAAAAATAAAATAAATACATCAAGAGCAAATTAAAAATGAATGTTGACAATTTTTTAAAATAGACATTAACCAATATACAAAGTTAATTATCTTTATGTTTTGCTAAGAAAGAAAACCAATTTTAACATAATGAATTGAGAATTGGATTGACTTATATTTTAAAAGCAATCCCAGTAAAACTGGTGCATTTAATAATATTATCTTTTATTTATTTTTAGATGAATCTTTATCAAATATTGTTTGTTTCACTATTTCTAATGCACAATGCTTGCTGTCATATTATGATGGCCTGAGTAAATTGTGATAAAAAGCAGGTAAAAATTAAGGTAAAAGAAAATTACTAGTTAGAATTAAAAATAAATAATGTGTTGTATTTGTTGAATAATGTGAAGCTTTTCAAATGAAATGTATGAAAGGTCAGTTTTGTTAGTAATGTCTGAGAGTACTGAAATCACAGATAAAATAGGTGTAAGATAAAGAGACAAGCATAAACATAGCAGAATGAGAAAATTATTTTTTTGTTTTTAACATATCTGAAATT